TTTGCTCCTTTTGCCCCCCCCCAAGCCCCCAGGAGCACTCTACAAGCCTCCCAAAGCTCTGCATGCCCCCCCTTTTTTTTTGCAAAAAATGTGGCATGCAGAGGGTTTGGGAGGCTTGCAGAGTGCTCCTGGGGGCTGGAGAGGGCAAAAATGAGCAAAAAACGGGCCATTTTTGCTCCTTTTGCCCCCCCCCCCAAGCCCCCAGGAGCACTCTACAAGCCTCCCAAAGCTCTGCATGCCCCCCCTTTTTTTTTGCAAAAAATGTGGCATGCAGAGGGTTTGGGAGGCCCGCAGAGTGCAAAAACGTTTTTTTTTTAATTTACCTCTTCAAAATCATGGTGCATCTTATACTCCAGTGCATCTTATAGTCTGAAAAATACAGTAGTTTGGAAACGCTACGTTAGCTCTAGAAAGCAGTTTGGGAGGATTCCATATTAATTGCTCTGTCCTGTCCTTGCCCTGTCTGTCTTGTTCTCAGGAGATGACACCTGTCCCTGAATCAGCTCCACAGGCTGCCCCTGCCCCGGCTGCAGTGCCCCCTAAAGAACAGTGGGCTATCCTGGTGGATATAAGCTCCCCCGTGGACGATTTCTACAAGCTAATTCCTGATCCAGCCTTCCAGGTAATCCACCAGTTGTTAACTGTCCAATAGCATATGCAGGGGGAGAGGGGAATAACTCCTGGGACATAATTTTACCCACATAATTTTACTGATAGATCCATATAGGCACAGAAGAAGCAAAGCCAATTCTAAAGGTTCCCTCAGACAGTCCCAAAGGTACCCCCCCCCCTCAAGAGGTGACTTTCTTGTTTTTCTTTGAAGACATTTCACTTCTCATGCCAGAAGCTTCGTCAGCTCTGACTGGATGATGGGGAATGGAAGGATTTATATTCCTGGCAAGACAGCTGGTCATTTGCATCCTTTTAGAGAGTCGTTGAGGCCACTTGGAGGTTTATTTGTGTCCTGAGGGTCACCTGACTAGTGATCTACCTCCAGTCTACAACACAGTCCTAGTCCTTTCAACAGTTCTCTGGAGGCTCCATACCCATTTTCACTATTCAGGTGACTCTGAAGACACAGATAAACCTCCAAGTGGCCTCAACGACTCTCTAAAAGAATGCAAATGACCAGCTGTCTGCAAGGGCTATTAACCCTTTCCCTTCCCCTCCATCCAGTCAGAGCTGAAGAAGCTTCTTGGATGAGAAGCGGAGCGTCTACAAAGAAAAAAAAAAGTCTGGTTATCTCCTGGAAAAAAAAAGCACTTTTGGGTCCGTCCCAGAGGTGGGTTCCTACCAGTTCGCACTAGTTCGGTAGAACCGGTTTGTCAAATCTACCGAACCGGTTAGAAGAGGT